CATGGGAATAAATATTTGTGAATTCTGCTCTTGCTGTTGTCTACATTTCTTCTTTTTCCTTTTCTCTTCTCTTCTCTGTATTGGAAAGACCAGCTTAGAGAACGGCCCATGTTACAATCTCTGCTAGGGAAAACGTTTTCTGCATACCCTAATGAAGAGTTTTCAGTAGTTTATGAATTTTAAAGAAGATGTCCTGGTTTCTGAATTACAAACCATAGAAATTTGCTTTGTCTTCATGGGAGATTACTCTGTCTGTGTGTGTGTCTGTGTTCTGTTTAAAAAAAAAAAACCCAAAACAACAAAAACCCAGCCAACAAACAAAATCTAAAAATCCAAAGCACAACAGCAACAACAAAAACTTTATTTTCCACTTTCTTCATTTGATAAAAATCTCTCCACTGTAGAATGATTTCCTTTGGGTTTGACACCACCATTTGATCTCAGTTTTTAATAATTTTGGTGGGTTTTGCTCCCAGAAGAAAACATGCTTGTGCTGTGAAGTATTCCCACTAGAAAGCTGGGAAGTCTTAAAACCTCCTGTTACTCAGGGCAAAGAACTGGCTTCTTTATTAATTCCCTGCTGGACAACCCCTGTACAGTAAATCTTACTGTAACACCATGCTGTTGAAATTAATCAAACTGATGTTTGGAAATTGTTCAAATTATATTATATTAAATTAAATAACACCTAGATGGGCCTCAAAACTGTGCTGATGGAAAGAGATTTTAATCTAAAAAGACAAATTTTATTGGTGTCTCTTCTTGTTGGTTGATCTTAATTTTATACTTATTAGGACATGCAAGCACTGCTCTCTGTTTAATGGCTGGAGAGGTGGGTGGCTGAAAGAGCAACCTGCTCCTCAGCTTTCTGTGTCCTTTTCTTCTTTGTTGTGATTGCCAAGTCTACGATGGTTATGTGGAAGTGGACAATACATAGAAGTTTAGTGCCAATAATATCACATTTATTACTTGTTTAAAGCATGTACTGCACAAAGTATGATTTGCAAATGAACAAAAGAAACAGTGCAGGACTTCTTAATATCTGTTCTCTCTCATCCTTCTAGTTGGTCATTAGAAATTCGCAGCTTTTACCTGGAAGTCTTAAAAATGAAAATGTTTTCCAGGGAGCTGTATGACTGCAGTTTGATAATACTTTTAACTGGCTTTAAGGTTGTTTTTGGAAAAATGAATGCTTTATGCAGCAGAGTCTCCCAGGTTTTCACTTCTTGAATTAAATACCTATTTCTCTTTCCTTCATTTTAAAGAATTGATTGCTCCCCAGTGAAATAAAACTATAGATTAAAATGGACAAGGAGGAGAAAATGTGTATTTGGACGCTGGTCTCTGATACATATTTAATTTCTTCTTGATTTCTCTGACCCTTAGAAGAGTCTTAGCAAAAAAGCTGTGTTTACAAAGTCTTTTCTGTACATTGCAGCTTTTCCATGAAAGCAGCAGTGGAGCTTAAATTTCGTCTCTGATTTGTTTTAAATATATATGTTATATAAATGTACTGGTCACTACTAACCATTCTGATCTTCCGGGTCATAGTGAGAACAGTTTTTCAGGGGTCTCTTTCATGGGTTATATGTAATTCTTACTGTGTATGGATGTTCTTATAAAAGCCTTTATGTAGGTCTTAGTTTACACTCCCCTGACATTTTATGCAGATGCCATCTATATGGGGTCAAAGCTCTGTGAGAAGTATGAAAGAGCTGCTTCTAAGTCAGTTAAGTGAATCAAAATCAAGGAGAAAAAGTCTTTTTTATGATTTGAGATTGCTGGTAATGTTTTGTGTGCATACCAACGTTGTGTTCATCCTTTAAGGAAACAAACTGTTTCCTTTTTTAGCCCTCAGATTACCCCCGTTTTTCTCCATGTGTGAAAATCCATGCCGTGTGTCATCCACCATGAGCTGTACAGCATCACTCACTGCAGCATCTTTCTGGAGCTGGGAGAGCGAGTGCACACAGTTTCAGTGCCGAGGGAACCTCAGCCCTTTCTGTGCATGTGCATGGGCAAGAGAGCATGACAGGAGCTCTGGCTGATCGGTCGTTAGGGAAAGAGCTGAGGAGTTTCAGGATTTATGAGTAAGGCTGGCTTGCACTGCAGTAGCACTGCATGTGAGACTTCATTATGGATGCTCGGTCTCCTGCTCTCTGAGTATTGCTCTAGGTTCTTCAACTGGAATGACAGTGAGCAATGACTAACTTGTATAGCTCTTCTCTAAGGGCCCTGTAGTGAGCTGGAGGTGTAACATATGCATGTAGGAGTGAGGCATGGTGTGTATCAGTGTGTAAAGAGCATGTTGACCTCTGACTGCAGGTATTTTTCCTTCTGATTCCAACATACTGAAAGTATGTTAATTTATTTTCAGATAACGTCAGGTAACCGAGAAGCTTGGGGTAAAAAGTCCATTGGAGACATGACAGTTTAACTCTCCAATGCAAAATAGAGGGCAAAGCGGTTGAAACTTCCTTGGAGTAATATTTACTTGGAAATAGGTTGGATTACTGTTGTTTTTTACTAAAATAAAATTGGTATTAAGATTCCAGATGCCATAGTGAGAGGCATGAGAATGGGTTAGCAATGACAGATGTGGTAACCTGCCCTTTGCTCTCTGCTTTTAAGATACTAATAGCAGTTTATCATCAGTTACACTGGGTCACTGAGTCCCTGAGTTCAGAGATTTTTTTTTCATATGCTGTTTCTGTAGCAGGGTCCCTGCAAGCATGGACAGCAGGATGGGGCAGGAAAATCATCGTGGGCAGGGGTCCTGAGGGTCCTTTGTGCCATCCATAAAGTGATATCGTGAATGGCATCAGTTCTAGCTTTTGAGATCCTGTTTGTACTCAGACAGCAAGGGACGAGAGCGGGGAACAGGTGCAACTTCTGTGCTGAAAAGGAGAGGCTGTTGTTTGACAAGGAAAGCATCCAGCAGGAGGATAAAAAACACTATGGCCTCCCTCTCATCAGTTTGCTTCATCACTTTTCCTGTCTTGCCAAATTGTAATTTACACAACTGATATTACAGCCTCAGCATTTGGCCAATTATCCTAATCTTTTGCCAAGACATTAATAGCCCCATCAAAAGTGCTGTGACAGCCTGTATGTTCGACAGGACTGGAAGTTTGTCACTTAAAGAGACTTAGTTTTGTTTTAGCTAGTTAAATGGTTTATGAACAAATAGAATTCAAGTTTTAACCTTTGATAGGAAGAGAAATTTTGTCACTGATTTCAGTGGAATGTGATCAGCCATGTGCTGTCTTTTCAGGAAAGCACCTGGAGATTTTTTTTCACTGAGACTTTTTTTAGCACGGTGTGTTAGAATTTGGCTGCTTGAACTTGCAAAATGCATCAATTTAACCCAGAATCAAGCAGTGAAGAGGGAGCAGTATCTGTGTGATGCTGTAACCTTCTTGCAAATTACTTCAGGATGTGTTTCAAAACAAATAACTAAAACACATCAACTGGATATCGTAGCCTGTAACTCCTGTTGTGGGCCTCTCACAAAGTGAGAATTGTGTATCTAAAATATCTTTTAAAGTAATTTAGTCTCTGGAAATTCAAGACAAGGAGTATTTAAGTCCCTTAGCAGTTGTTGGTGTGACTGTATTTATTTCAGGGCAGGATGACTCCTCTGAAGGGGTATGTAACTATTGGTTTGTAGATACTGACGCTACAGATAGTAGAATATCTCAAAGATATTTAATGAACTTCATGCAGGAGACCTGAAATGTGGCTTTCTCTTCTTTTTCCCCTAAAGAAATGCCTGGTCCAAGAATACAGTGATTTGTGTCCGGTCTTTCATAAACATATAGAGATATTTTTTTTGTAGTTATTTTCTACTGGAAATGGTTATGTTTCATTCTGAAAAATAAGATTTAGAGGAGAGCTTTCTGGTGGTATTATGAGCCTTGGGCGACACATCTGGAAAACTGCTATAGGCTGAGGTTGGTCTCTGCCCCAGTATTTCCTAGTTTATCTAGGGACTAAGAAGTTGTAACCGATTAATAAATTTCTGTGACTGCAGGCAATGGTTTTTCCTTTGGCACCCTGACTACAGCCGGGCCTGTAGCAGGTGATGGAAATGGTTGTGCAGTTCTGTAGGTTTTCTGTCTGTTCCCTCTTCCCTCTGTGCATGCACTGTAGGGTTGTTCCCTGCAAATTGGCATATTTCTCTACTGCCTGTTGTATTGAATCCCTTTAAGTTTGTGCCCCACAATTTATTGCCATAGATGACTTGATCCTGTAACCACAAAAGTAAATTTACAATAAAACAGAACAAAATTAAATCCAGACCACCCCCTGAGTTTTCCACTTCTGTGGTTCCTCCTCATCCTTGATGCTCTTTCGAAGAGAGCCGTTCTCACTCTCTTCATGCATGCAGCAAGAGGACAGCCACGGGTCTCTCCAGGTCTGTGTAACCATCAGCTGCCAACACAAGGTTATAATTTTCAGCAAAATAAATGGGAGAATATTTTCCATGTACAGTGAGAAGACTGGCCATGGTCTAAAAATGCACACAGACCTCAGTGTCCCCCAAGGGGACCTGCCTCTGCTGATTCCTCCATGCGTTTGCTGTGTAGAGAGAAGCAGAAGCAGCATTTGTGTGTTGGGTTTTTGTATGGCTGAAAGTGGAGAAGCTCTGACCTGAAAGAATAGAGACATCCATGGAACTGTAGAAAACTTCTGCTATGTTGAAAAAATCTTATTAGGAAATCGTGTTCATCCTAATGCTGACTCTGATTCTGTTCCTGAACTGTATTCTCTTGAGCTTTTAGTGTGGTTTTTAAATGAGTCAAGTGATGAGACTTCAGTATTTCCCTTGGAAAGAAAACAAAAGCTATCCCACGGGGAAGAAAGGCAGATTTCCACTTATGATGAGCCTTCTAGGAGGTGTTTTAATTTACAGCTTTAATCAGAGATGTATGACACACTTCTTGTTCCTCTCTTATTGATGCTTTGTTGTTTTTGGGGTTTTTTTCCCATCCAGGTTTGATGATTCCCGTCTTTTGTGTGGTGGAGCAGTCGGACGCCTCTCTTGAATACGATAATCGAGAAGAGCATGCTGAGTTCGTTCTGGTTCGCAAAGATGTGCTCTTTAGCCAGCTGGTGGAGACAGCGCTCCTGGCTCTGGGGTATTCCCACAGTTCTGCAGCTCAGGCACAAGGTATTCAGTAAAGTTCTTTTCCCCCCTCCTCTGCACTGCAGAAGACAGCACTTGAGGTTGTTCAATGTAAGGAGAAAGCAAGAAAATTAGTGGCAAATCTTGGAAGTGGTTATATCAGTGTGTTAATTGTTTAATCTTAAACTAGGTGTACAACAAGCCCTACCTTGTTAACCTGCCTAGAAAGCACTAGGTAGATCTTGCTGAAGCGTGCAATATGGTGATAATGATCAGTCAGCATATTCAGACACACTTGTTCTGTACCACAAGGCAGGTCACTGCTCCCAGGAAGTCAGCCCAGAAGAACTGGGTAGAACCTGTAGGTGTACAGCTAGATGGTATCCAGTGTTCTTCTTTGTCGCAGGGCTATTTTGAACAGAGTATTGTAGCCTTTCATTTTTTAAATTATACCTTGTTAAAGAATGGTTACATATGTATACATGCTTTCTTTATGGCAAATAGTTGTAGGGCTAAATGTGCGGGCTAATTTCTCTTTTTTCACTTACCTGCTATATTGCTACAAAGCTCTGTGTAAAGCTCTACAGTTCCTTCCACTTAGAGATGATTCTCTGTTAGCAGCAAAATCCTAAAATAAACAAAGCTTTCCTTCCCTACCCAAAATATCAGCTTGAAAAAAAACAAACTGAAAATCCTAATCTTGAGGGAGATGGGCAGGAGGTGGTGGGCTGGGAGAAATCTTTTCAGAATGAACCTTGCATTTCAAGAGGCTTTTTAATACTAAACAGGTTATTTCAGTGCTTATTCTTTTGGATGAGAAACCTTTAGGTTTGTTTCATCTCCATATCACCAATAAAACCTGTGCACATTTAGAGTAGTTTAATAGCAACTTTGCCTGGGGATTTGGATTTTGTCCGTTGGTTTTAGTTATTTTGTATAGCTGGGTATTTGAACGTGGGAACAGAGGGAACATTGGTGGTGTTGAATCCAGGAGTTCCAGGCAGTGGTTAATAGCATGGACTCCTTGTACAAACTTCTTTCCAAGCAGGGTGATAGTGATTCATTTCCTCTGTCAGACTCTGCTCTGTGAGAGAGGCTCAGGTTCTTTATACAGGCAAAGCTCATGAACATGTGTTTATTTACATAATATGGTAATAAAAGCTCTGCAAGAAGGTAGTTGTTTTGGTTTTTAATATTAAATGTTTCGTGTCATCTTAGGAACTCTTTTTTTTCTGAATGTAAAAGGTCAGCGTATCCCACTGTTTCCATCCTGGTGAGCCAGCTTTCTGTTTGACAGCACTATCCATCTCAGTTAACACAGTTGCTCAACATGTTGCGAGCTAACATGTGGAACATGCTGCATTAGGTGGCCAAAATTTGATTCTTGGCACTTACGGAGGGGAATGGGCATTGCAGAAAACCTGCTCCATGGAGGCATGCCATGCAGTGCAGTGATCCACACTGGCTCAGCATCTCACTGGGGGGAACCTTGCTTTTGCAGCATCTCTCTGTTGTGAGAATAGTGAGGAGGAGAGACAGATTGGCTCACGAAGGAAATCAGTCACTGTGCAGGGAGGAAATGGCCACTGCGTTTTTGAACTACAGGCTTTGACAATGAGCGGGTTCAGCTACTGATCTCTCCCTTGACGTATTGCTCAAATAACCTGACTAGAAAATAAAATATCTAATTGTTATAATTAGTCTAAAAGAAAATACTTCAATATTTTCATCTTTGAGGCAGCAATTACCTTCCACTAGACAATATCAGATGGCATATATGTATACATATATATATAAATGTCTTAAAGATCCATAGCTAACAAATCTCTTGGTCAGGTTATTTACCTTCACACGGAAGGACCAATCCACCAAAGTCTTTTAGACATCCTGAGCAAATACTGCTGGCCATGCTGATTTTATTATATGAAGCTGAAGTATGCAGCATGTTCTGTAGCATCTTGCCTCTTTGCTAGCTGTCTGTAAGCTGAGGGATGAGGTACAGACAGAGACAGAGTGCCAATAGATTTCTGAGATTGTTTTGTTTAATTTGAAAATTAATAGAATATTGGGTTCTAATCTGTTAACTAGAGTTGACAGAAGCATACTGCTAAATTGCTGCTATAAGGACTTATTAAGGGAACACAATTTTCTGATATTAAAAACGGAAGAAAAATAAAGCTGTTTGCTTTATTCATTCTGGCTGTAGGAAGAAAAGTCTGCTTCTATTCTAGCGCTTGGGATTGATTTCCATTAGCAATACACATTAATAAACGGTCACTTAGTTCTTCTTCATGATCAGCTGAATTACAGGATCTGTATGAGAAGCTGAAGATCTTCAGGTGCATTTTTCAAAGCTTTGAGCAACATGCCATGCAAAATGGTGACGTGAGTAGGTGTCCCCATGTCCTCCAGAGACAAAGTAAATGAGTTTATCAAAGCTTTGGTATTGTAAAAGCTGTAACATAGTATGTCGTAATTATCACCTTTTGAGTTGGGAAAGTGTTTCATTTCGCCCCCCTCTTCTTTTGGATGACTCTGAGAGGAGCAGCAATTTCATTTCATCTTGTGAGAAACACTGTGCCTTCACCTGTTCTTTTTAGAACAGAGTCTTCCAGGCTGGGGGGAAAGAGGAACTGTGGCAGTAGAGAGAACTGCTGTACAACTTCACGCAACCTTTGCTGTGTTTCACCATGGCAGTCCTGCAGAGCTACCGAGGCTCGAGCAGGCGGTGCGTGCCCGGCATGCAGGGCCCTGCCTCGCGATGCCTGGCTGCACAGCAGAGCCTGGCTACTAGAAAGGGAACATGGCACAGAGTGGTAGGTGGCATGTTGCCTCCCTGAGGGGTCTGTGTGCCCAAAGAGACACTGCCATGGGGCTGCTGGCCAGGGCTGCAGCCTGGAGCTGCAGAGTTCTCCGAGGAGGTGACGCTGTGTCCGAACATATGAGCTGTAATCTGTGCACACACAGCTGCCACCTGGCCTGAGCATCACGTACTGGCTTGTGGTCACTTGGCTGACCATGGATAATTTTTATTCCTGGTCATTAGGTAAATACATAAGCTTTAGCATAAACAATCTTGAGACAAATATGTATCACGAGGTTTACATGAAGGTGGCCCATGCCTCACTGTAAGAAGCTCTTTATTCCCACACAGTTTGGCCAGGACACATTTATTCCACAAACAGCTGGTTGTGAATGTTTTTTGTTGATGGTGGTGGGAGCAGAGACTTTTCCAGTGAGTGCTGCCCTCGTGAAACTTCCCTTTTCTGACAGGAGCTGTGAAATATCTTGTGGAACAGCATGGGAATTCGTTAACAGCTTGGCACTGGGATGTGAAAGTTGGTGGTGTGAATGGCAACAAAGGTTTAATAAACATTTATGTATTTTTCTTTCATCACTTGAGTCTACACCTGACAGTAGGGAACCTGCTACATGTGCCTTTCAGAGAGGAAAAGAGTCATGCTTTAAAGGGGCACCTGTTCTATATGTAGTTTATTAAAATTTCCATGCCTGGATGAAAATTTTTTTTTTTCCATGAGTGAGCTATTCTAACTGGTCTGTGCAAGAGAAGGGAACTCGTAGGAGGTACAGAGTGCTGAGTGCTAGGACCAAAGTAGTATGAAAGTAACCAAAATCTAGTGTACCCTGTGTACAGTCCTGCAGCTTTGGGACCTGCTGTGAAAGCTGATTCCCTCCTCAGTGCGGGGTGAAAGAAGGGCAGAGCTAGTTTGATGCTTTTAGTGTCTACTTTCTTAAAACCCACATGACAAAGAAAATAGTGTACTTTCTTGTGGATACATGTTTTTTCTTTTGACCAGTTCCTTGTTAGCTGTTGTGAGTGTGTACACAGACTGGTATGCGTTGTCTGCAGAAGTTATCCAAGGTGAATGGACTGTTGAAATGTGGATTGCCTTCTCCCAGGTCCTTCAGCTGGATGTGTTGGCAGGGCAGCGTGGGGTGCCTGCCCTGTTTGCTGCCTGGGGGCAGCTTTAGTGGGGTACTGACAAGATAGTTGCTTGAGTTAGTTGCTGTGTGTAGCCACAACGAGGAAAGGGGCCTAGAGGAGAGTGAAATGGTGCTCAGATGCCAAGTGGAGCAGAAGGAAGGAGAAAACAGTGGAAGGAAGTTAACACAGAGCAAGGGAAACATTAGATCTTTCCCATCCCTGCCACTGTAGAGATTGCCAAGCCAGGGTTCTTAAGCAATGTATTGCCTTGAGCAGAGCCATTGCAAGAGGCAGTGTCTGTTATTGTCACTGCTCCAAGGCAGCGTCTTGGAGGCCTCTCTTCATGTGCCCAGTTTCTTCTAGTGCTGTGTACGGACTACAGAGAGGGAAGACTTGTGGCTGCAAACAGCTGTGGGTCAGAGTGGAGGGCTGGAAGGAGAGGCTGGCAGTGGTTGGTGGGGAAGGTGTAGAAGAACAAGAAATGACAAAAGTTTAAGTATCTTGCCTTGCCATGTGGAATTGCGATAGTGCACAGGGACGAGAGTCATACTCTGTGGGGATTGTGGTTTAGTAAGCTCAGATCAGACAGCTCAGCCCTGTCAGCCTTGCATCACTGGAGTGGGAAAGAGGAGAATTTTGTTGCTGCTGGTCAGTGCCTGGCCAGGGTAGCTGAGGGGGTACCTCTGCCCAAATTTCATGACACCAGAAATGTATCTCAGGACTAATGGTCCTACTTCAGTTGCCTTGCTTGTGAAGCTCTGATATTGCTTGCAGTCAGGGGACAGCTTGGTTTTGGTGCTTCTGCAGAGCACTGTGTTCTGCAGCAGTGGTGGAGGTGTCCTTGCAGTGAGCTGCAGCAAGAGAGAAAGGTGGCTCTCCTGACTGTAGAGGAAGGAAACCAAAGCACAGACACATAAGAGCTTTGGATCCATAGTGCACATGGCTGGGGCAGGAAGCAACCCAGACTGCAAGTGTGTTCATTTTCTTCAAGGGCTTAAATACGTGAGCTCAACCCAACTCTCTGCTGTTAACTGGAGGCTCCTTGGACTTGTAGCCTGAGTTTTAGTGTTAATTCAAAGCATGGACCAGATCTGTGTGA